CTATTAGGCACCCACGTCACTATTGACAGTCATAACTTCGAAGTCGTAGATAATTTCGTCTATTTTGGAATTAGTATTAACASCAACAACAATGTCAGGGTCGAAATCGAACGCAGTTTAACTCTTGCCAATAGGTGCGACTTCATATTGAGTAAGAAATTGACGATGACAACATCTGGTAAGTCGACGTTACGAGTGAAAGGTTCTAGTTAAGATTTATGGTCCTTTGCGCATTAACAATGGCGAATATCGCATTCGATGGAACGATGAGCTGTACRAGATATACGATGACATTGACATAGTTAGCTAGGTCATGTCGTCCGAATGAAAGAAAACACTCCAGATTTGAGAGTTTTCGATGCAGTACCCGTCAAGGGAAGCAGAAAAAGAGGAAGATCTCCACACCGTTGCAGAGATCAGGTGGAGAAGGACCTGACTACACTTGGTATCTTGAACTGGCGCCAAATTGCGTAAAAAAACAACTGCTGTATTTTTTATTGGTTCGACCTCTAAAGAGATTTATTTTTACTCTGCTATATTGCTATAGCCTAAACGTATCTTGACTTGCTGTTGAAGCCTAACAAAAGTGTCATTATTTTATTTCTGTCTTCCGAAACCAGTCCGCCAAGTTGAATAGTCGAGTTCATCTTAAGCGTCGATTATCTTTAATTATGTGTAATCATAAGACTTGTAGGTTTGGAATTTAATATTTCTCCGAAATTTTCRCTATTTCGTCCACTTTTGTCAGCTTTTTTTTGGTGTAAATATTCTTATTCCATTTCCATTAAATGAAAAATTCTACATACTTTAATGAAGTGGAGAAGTTTTTCTTACACTAAACAATTACTCTGTTACAACCAAAGGATGTATAATACAAATTTTGAAGTCCAACCAATAAAGCAATTATAGTTTAAAGCTACAAGCAATTACCAACTGCGAATTGCAATTTATCAATTATCTACAACTTAACTTCCTGACCATTAGCAAATAACAACAAAACAAAAGGTAGTCTATAGGAATCTTGTCTAAATTGAAAATAGATTGTCACATGCTCAAATAGCTAGCCTTACGCGTATAAATAAATTGCTTGGCGATATTTTCCAAAGTAATGGTCAACTAAAAATAGAAGCTATCCAGTAGACAGCCGTTCATCATCCTCAACGATAACGGAATTCAAGGAATGTGCATCACTTTGACGCAACTTAGAACACGCACACTGAAATCAGTTAGTGTTAACGTGTGTATGTGTCTGTGTTTATTGGTGATTAGACGCGAGGATACTCCAATCAATTGTCAAAACAGCCCATCAGCAAGCGAGTCAGACATTATCATTATGAACAGCACATTGCAATCACGATTGTAATCGCGATCGCACTCCTTATTAAGCGCAGCAGCACGCCTTGTCTTGCGTCAATGGCGCCAAAACATTGCGGAAAAAAGTTCTCTGCTGACCATTCCCAGATGAATAATGCAATRTATGCGCGCATTCCTAACAACATGTACGCGTGTTTGAGTGGATATAGACATATAGGATATAGACGGCTTGTGCATATTGCCAGAGCATCCATCAAGCATTTGATAATGCACTGCACTAACTCATACACATGCCYTGTTGGAAATTCTACAACAACAAATTTTATTCAAATAACAAAACAACCGCCATTACAACAAACCCCAACAACTGACGGCAAGAGTTAGTTCATATTTCCTACAGGGTCGGCGTTCGCTTGCATCGCGTGCGTATGCCAGTAGCAACGAGCAGGCGCCACTGGAATTTCTTACAACAATTTAATTAATTCAGTTATAAGCAATGATAGAGGAGGTTGGATTGCTGTTTCTTCTTCTGCAGCCTATCATTAAGTGGGCTTCACCAAACAAACATTCAATGGGAGCTAAGACTCTCGCGGCTGCTTGTTACAACCAGTTTTGTGTGAGTCTTATTGCTGGCTGTTGTGCTGTTTACATGGTGCTGTTCTGCGCATGCGCGCCAACTTGCGTGTAAAGAAAGTGTTGGCTGGATATCTCACAGCAGTGGAGGAAATTAGAATTTCTAATACCAGACAAATGGTCGTTAATTGTGATGTGGATCTATTTTTAGTGACGTCGTTTGTCACAAGTGGCGCCCAAGCCAAGTGTGTCATGTTGACAGATTGACAGGTGCGAAGTGGGAAGGAAGTCGTTGCATTCCATTCTGTTCGATAGCTTTTCTTGTTTGGCCTTGGGATTCTTTTTATTGCCTATTATTTAGAATAGAATATTGTAGTATTTTTATGAGTTAATTGGTTTGAGGTAATTACTATATATTTTTGTATGTCGATAAAGAACTCAAACCCGCAAATATTTGAACCAACACACTCAGTTTTTACCTAAGTTGATCTATAAGAAATAGTAAAACTTAGGTTTTCCTTTTCATGCCCTGTAGCTTGACTTCTTTACTTATTCAGACCAAATACTGGACCTAATCCTCTTATGATTTCAAGTGGTATTAACGCCAATAGAGAAAAAGGTGAAGGTTTCGGTCATAATTTATTGATTGAGAGTTAAGTTTCTCGATAAAAGTTCATAAAGTGGAAATGGAAAACCAAGAGTCATCAAAATACTGAATTCAAGACCRCGGCTATACTTACAATTATTAGCTGTTTCTCGAAAAATTATTATACTGCATATATGTACGTACATTAAGTTGCAATGAGGCCTTTCAAGCTGCCGACAAAAATATTGAAATTCTTTGAGAATTTATGTGTAACTTATATAGTATTAGAGCAAATAATTCAAAGGTTATTCTTGCAAATGCTTGCAATGGCTGTCTAATTTATCATGTCCTCACAATGCAGATATTCTTTTAGAAGAACACATCTTTGACTTACCCGAAACCGTCTTAGATTCCTATATTCATACGCCTGATCATGAGAGAAAGTCATGCCTGCAAGGTTCATTGACCAGCTACTTGCTACCACATGATTTGGGATCCAATCACTGCAAAACAATTCGCTTTGTTTCAAATGCTTAGACAAGACGCCGTTAAACTTTCAATTATTTTAAATATATTTTTTGCACTTTTTTTTTTTGTGTGCTAAATATTTTGTTATTGCATATTGATAATATATTTTTATATATTATGATTCAAAGGACATTCAGTGCGCGTGTCTCCCATAAAACTGTTTATTCTTTGCATTTTATTTTCATTGCATCACTGCAAAAGATTGCAATTGAGACAAGGGCATCCGTAAACAATATTGTGAATGAAACTCATTATGCTCTGTGTACAGACTATGTCCGCTTCTCATATACAGTAGGTGGCGAAAAAACCGAAACACTAAAAATACTTAAAGTTGAAGTAGAATTTTTGGGAAATTAAAGAGTTTCTTTGTTGGAAGAGCAACATTGGTCAGAGAGAAAGATTTTCGAGTCTGCGTAAACTAATTTATATCGAACCATTTACTATTATTAAAACAAAAAACTTTCTTTTTAACTTGAAAAACAAGGGGATCGATGAATTCTCTTTAAAATTGTTATAATTGTTTGGAAAGACGTAATAAATCAAGGGAAAAGTTTGATCACTTTTGTTTGGAATATAACTGTAAATCGATTGTCTAGCTACTCTTGAAGCAGCAAGTACTTTACTAATTTTTTGCAATATTTTTGACCATATATAGAGCCCCGCCGATTTTAATTCCACTCAAACGAAGAAAAAACGACAGTCAGCCCTGCTTAACCGGAACAAACCCAAGATTTTTTTCAGCCAAAAACTGTCAACTCGACAGCATTACTCTAAATCATTTCAAAAATATTTTCTTCTGCTAAAATTACACCAAGAATAAACTGGAAAGTTTGGAGCTGCCAAACGATGAGCGAATCTGGATTAAAAATAACAGATTTAACTTTAACTTCCTTCTGAACCCAGAACTTGCCCATAAGCACTCTAAATTTGAATGCTCAAAKCAACAAAAGAACCGTTATTATTACTTTAAAAGATTACTATTTTATTGAGCTAATATATGAACACATTTCTAAAATAAAATAAAAAAATAAATAGTATTGAACATCAAAAGAGAGCGCAAAATGTATACTTCCAAACATATGCTCCAATTTGCTGCACGCATACTGTATACCGTGGTAGCAGCATATAAAAGTGGCTATGCAAAACAAAGTTCATCTGAGAATACGCCAAGATAAGACAATTACCCCAGATTTTTATCTTTTCGAAGCCAAAAAACATACTTATATGTWTTTATRTATGTATGTAGTATATATTAAATGTTTTCTTCTATAAGCTTCCGACTAAGCTGGTCTGCGAACTGGCTAATTGTTAGTGGACGCCAATACGCTCAATACCATTTCACAGTTGAACGCAATTGCTACAATCGCATTGATGAATTACACAACAACAATAAAAATAAWAATAATACAGCAACAATGTTCCAAAAATATAACAGCAACAACAATAATTATGTAGAATATGTATGCAAAAAACGGTCGAAGAAATGTGACGAAGAAATTGAAATATGCAAATTTGATAAGAAAGTAATCGCACAACTACAAAGCCAGCGACAGCAACGACAACAGCAGCGGCTGCAGCATCCGTGAACCGCTTTTGACTAGGGCTCGGCGCGGCGTTAGTGGGGTGTGGCTGTTGCCTCGCGTTGCTGACGGTGTGTTGTCTGATTGATAATTCAAAACAAATCCAAATAATATATAGTATACTGGTATATAATACTATATACATGTACAGCGCTATATAGTATATAATATAAAATTACATACATACATGTAAAAGTACTGATATTGTTATTGTTTTTTGTAATTTTTGCTGTTGATGCATTGTCGYTCGACGTCGGAAGCTTTCCATTCATACATGTATTCTTCCACCATTTTCTCTACGCTTCACTGCTTATATTAAAAATAACAACAATAATCGAACAAAAAATAATTTAAAAAAAAACAACAACTCATGTTTCTACTTCGCCTTTTCATCATCCACTTTGCTTACCTATTTTTAGATCGGTGCCTGAGTTACCTTTTCGAGGGTTATCAAACGTGGAGTATCTGAGTATAGGCGACAATGAACTCGAAGAGATCCCTAAGCACATGCTGAATCACATGCCGATCGTGAAAACATTCGATATGGGACGCTGTCGCATACGTTCGGTGCTRCACGATGACCTCAAGGGCACACAAATGGTGGTGAATCTCTTTTTGCCAAGCAACAATATAAAACGTTTGGATAAGGGCGCATTTCCGACCAGTCTGGTCACGTTGCATCTCGGGCGCAATCAAATCGAGAATCTCAATAGCACGTTGCGGCATCTAGACAAATTGGAATCGTTGTTTATAAATATGAATCGGATTAGCAGTTTGGATGATGAATTGCCGGAATCGAATCGTTTGAAATTGATTATGGCACAGAATAATCGTTTGGAACGATTGCCGGAGAGCATGCGCTACATGCACAAGTTGGAGAATCTGCATGTACAACACAATCTCATACGCACTTTTGATGGCATCTTCAAGCATGCGCGCAATTTGAATGAGTTCCACGCTTTCAACAATGAGATCGARTATTTGCGTCAAGACGACTTTTTGGAGTGTAAAATGCTGGAGGACATTGACTTCTCGGTTAATCACATCAAGTCATTGAATAGTTCATTGCTGCCGTTGAGTCGTTTGTATCGCGCCAATATTTCCTACAATGAAATCGAGGAGTTCTCCATGAATGAGATACGCGGCTTGGTCATGTTGCGTAATCTAATCTTGAACAACAATAGAATCAAGCGCCTCACCGGTCACCAAGAGAACAACATTGATCAGAACTCGTACTTGTTCGAGTTGTATTTGGATCACAATGAATTGAAATCTTTGGATGGCGCTCTAATGGGTTTGAATAGCTTACGCATACTAAGTCTGTCCTACAATCAGCTGGAGCGTATTTTACCGGAGGACTTTATCGGGTTAGCTAAGCTGGAGCTCTTAGATTTGTCGCACAATCAACTATTGACGCTGAAGGAAATGGAAAGGGTGAGTAGATCGGAATCAAATAACAAATCATTCTGGAAATATATATTTATATATACATATATTGTATATACATATATTGTATAT